ACTCACCCACAGACATCTGGGTTGTTTCAGCTTTGAGGTATTGTGGGTAAAACTGCTGCAGGCATTCTAGGCGAGCTTTTACATAAGGGAATTTTCATTCCACTCATAAAAGTGCCCAGACTGGAGTTTTGTGGTTGTACAACAGGTGTATATTTAACTTTTAAAGAAATACCAAACATTTTCCACAGAGGTTGTTCCATTTTTCATTTCCACCAATAAGGTATGAGTGTTTCAGTTTGTGTAAAAGCCAGCTTTGGATGTTGTCATTATTTTTCATTTTACCAATTTTGATAGGTGTGTGATTATACCTCATCATGCTTGTAATTGTATTTGGCTGAGATCAAGCACTCAAGTGTCTTTTTTAAAAGAATGTATTTTGTTTTGTGTATTTACAGTGTACATGATACTTTGATATACACATACATAATGAAATGTTTACTTCAGGGAAGCAAAATAGCATATTCATCACCTTCTTAGTTACTCTTTTTACTTTCATTTATTCTGGTATGCACAACTAAAATCTCTCTTGACAAGCTTTCAATATGCAATAATATTATCTATTATCTTACCAGCTGTACATTTCTCATTCTTTATAATCACAAGTATAAATCTTTTGATGTGCATGTTCCCTCTTCATCCCTTCCTCTCTTCTAGTAATCACTGCACTACTCTCTATTTCTGTATATTTGACTTTTTAAATGTTCCACAGATAAGTAAGACAAATGTAATATTTTCATTTGCTTCTGTCTTACTTCACTTCATGTAATGACCTTCAGGTTTGTTCATGTTATGAACAGAAATATCTCATTTTCCAAAGGCTGACCACTCCAATAAATACATCTTCAGTGTCTGTTTATCTGTTTATAAATTATCTATCTGTCCATCTCCCACAGTTTTTTCTCCCACCCATCCAGACCATGACCACTTACCGGCTCCATACCCTGTCTATAATGAAGAATGCTTTTAGGAACATGGGAGTTGAGATAACTGCATGCTTTGCTTATTTCATTTCATGCTGTGTATACCAGCAAAGAAATTGCTGGGTTGGATGGTAGCTCTATTCTTGCTTTTGTGAGGAGTCTCCGTACTGTTTTATATAACAGTTATAGCAATTTACGTTTCCGCCATCAGTGTACAAGGGTTCTCTCTTCTCACACCTTTCCCAGTACTTGTCAATGCTTGCCTTTTTCATTTTCTTCCATCTGTAGTTTGCTTTTCATTTCATTGCTTCCTTTGCTGTGTAGAAACTTTTAAATTTGATGCATTTCCTCTTGTTTGTTTGTTTGTTTTTGCCTGTGCTTTTGGTGTCATATACAAAAAATCATTCCCAGTACCAGTGTCAAAGGGATTGCCTGTGTCTTTTCTTGTAGAAGTTTCAGGACTTGCATTTGAGTCTTAAGCATATTTTGAGTTACTTTTTGTAAATGGTAGTGGGTAGGTGTACAAATTTATTATTTTTCATGAAGATATCTAGTTCTCCTGAAACTATTTATTGATGAGACTTTCATTTCCCCAGTTTGTATTCTTGATGTTCTTGGAATACATTAGTTGACTCTATATTCATGGGTTTATTTATGGGCTTTCTATTCTGCTCCTTTGCTCTATGTCTATTTGTATGTCCATACCATGCAGTCTTGATTATGAGTAACTTTGTAATATAATTTGAAAATAGGAAATCTGATGCCTGCAGTTTTGTTTTATATGAAGATCATTTTACTCACTTAGTACATTTTGTTATTTTGTATGTATGCATATTATTTTCTGTATGTTAATGAAATATATCATCAGAATTTTGACTAGGACTGCACTGTATCTCTCTGTGTTGCTTTGGTTAATATGATTGTATGAACATATTTCCATAGATATATTTGCCCGCATGAATACACAGGTGAAATATCTCTTCAGGTGTTTTTTTCAGTGTAGCTGTTTTACATAAACCCATGATGAATTAAGAAATAATGAGGAGCCAGTGATTTAGCTCAGTGGCATTGCATCTGGCTTATAAGTGCAAGGCCCTGAGTTCCATTCTTGGTACCAAGAAAGAAAGAAAGAGAGAGAGAGAGAGAGAGAGAGAGAGAGAGAGAGAGAGAGAGAGAGAAAATAAAGAGCCATTGATCCTAGGTGACATACAGGGTTTTTCTTTTGCTTGTGTGAGCTTTTGGTCACATTTTCCTCAACTGATCAATATATAACTTTACTTTATGTGTGCTTCTGTTTAAGGATACTTTACTTAACATATATTGTGAATTCATTAGCAATATGCTTAGCCAACGGCAGCCTAGGTGATACTGAATAAAGCTTATCTAACGTGCATACTCTTTCTATAAGTCAATCTGTAGCCATCCTAGACTGAGGGACATGAATCAGTACTTCACCCCTACCCTGAAGGGTTAAGTGAGAAAATCATGGACAAAATGTACATACACACAAAAAATCATGACACAAAACTATAAAAAGGAAACTTGTTTGCAATATTGTTAACCTTGGGTGAGGAGCTGTGTGTCAGATGGTTGAGTAATTTGGCCACTGTGCTCATATCTGAATGACCATAGTATCATATTTAGGGCTAACAAATAGGAAAATCCATAAATATGGTGCATACCATTGGTAGTGAAATTGTGGCACATATAGTATTTCTCTTTCTATTAAGACAAGAGGTGTTAATGTATGAGTTTTTTTCTCAACTAAAACCTCAGTATTGAGGTTTAATTGCAGTGTCGGTACTTTGTGATAAATAAATAGGTTTTGGGTTGCAGTTTGGGCACTTGGTATCTAAAAGGTTGACCATCACTGATACACAGATTCCACATGTCAACTGAGTGTGATTCACAAATATCTTCTGCAGCACTATAGCTTGCCTTTTAATGTTCTTAGTTTGTTCATAGAACAAAAGTGTTTACTTTTAGTGAAATCAAATTTGTAAATATTTTGTTTTCTGCTTTATGCTTTTGATATCAAGTCTAGCAACTCTGCTTAACTCTATAATTAAAATATTTTTAGAACTTTTCTATTTTTTCTAAAAATATTATAGTTTTATATTTTCCCTGAAGTCATTTGATGTAGTTTGTATATAAGGTGTGACATTAAATTAGCAGTTCATTTTTTGACATTGTTTTTATGTATGTCCAGTTGCTTCAAAATTGGCATTGAACAGGAGGTTTTTCTTTCACTGAATTGCTTTTGTGCCTTTTTTCAAATATCACCTGGGCATATTTATGTTCTTGTTGGTACTGGGTAAAGGGTAGACATTTCCATTTCTCATGTGATTGCCACTTAAGCCAGAGTAGGTGGGATTCTTGCTATTCTCTGTGTAGGATAAAAGTCTGACTCCAACTGGAGACGTTTTCTGGGTGGGCTATGGGGTGAAGAAGGCTGGCCTTCATGGAGCCTTCCAGTAGTGGACCTCTAGACTTTTTAGTTGGCCTTCGGTGGTGGGTGGGGTTGTGATTACCTTTTTTTCTGCGTTGCTTGCCTGTGGTAGATAGGTATAGACATGTTTTCTGTCTTGCTCACTGTCTTCCTGATTCTTTGGGTTGGGGATAGGCTTTTGGGCTAGGGCATTTTTTTGTAGGTGACTTTTTTTTTCTTTTAAATTGAATTTATTGGTACATTCTAGGTAGTACAGTTACATTCATTACTGGGATCTTGTACCTTTACATGCCAGGTCTTGGTTCTCATTTTTTCCCCTGTAGGTGACTTTTAATGTTTGCTTGTTCACTACTCCAATATCCAGTCTGGGACTCAAGAGGCAAGAATAAAAAGCAGAGGACTGACTACCATTGTTTTTCATGTGTACTAAGGTTCCTAGCCTGTCTTTCTTCTCCATCTTTGAGGATCTCCTTTTGGTTTCCTTCTTCAGTTGAGAGATTTCTTTTTCTTTTCCTTGGTGGGAAGATTCGGGAAAGCTATCATAGTTCATTTGCTGGGAAGCAAAATTCATTGCAGGTAGGTAAACTTTTAAAAAAATGTTTGCAGTTTACAGATACAGAGATTGTTTGGAAAAGTTACACAAAAGTGAAAGATATACATCTCAAAGTTTCACAAAAAGTACATCCATGTATTCTGCTCTGTTCATGACATGCACACCCAAACATACATAAGACCTCAGGCAGAAGTGCTCCAGTATTCACAGTGCCACTGTGCTGGGAGAGGGGAGACAATCACGCTCTGAGCTCAGTGAGCCATGGCACATGAAGTGTTCATCTGCTTTTCTTTTACTTCACTTTGCTTTATTTACATTCCTCTTTACAGTGAGTTTCAAGTAAGTGGAAGGAGAGAACACTTATGATGCCAGAGATGATCTCAAGAACATACAAATAGAAAGGTCATAAGTTGCAAAGCACAGAATTCTACAAGTTATATCTGTACACAGGGGGCACATGCAGGTTCACTGACAGCATGTGAGCCTATGTCCTATCTTGAAATGATGGAATTTGGTGTACTAATAAAACATTTTTAAAAGCAAGAAAAGAAAGATAAATACACTATAAAAAGTGTTTGACAATACCCTCAGAAATAATTCAGCTGCTATATATCTTAAAGAAGGTGTGTGTGTGTGTGTGTGTGTGTGTGTGTGTGTGTTGTGTGTGTGTGCTACTGTATGAAAGCAACTCAGTCTATATATGAATTTTCCACCATGGGTTATGACACCTATTTCCTTGTAAAAGTGAAATTCCCTCACTAAAGAAAAACCACACTCATCAATGTAACTGTGTCCCATATATTGTTACCTTATTTTCACTACTTCCTGGTTCAGTCTTGTATGCTTTCAAACGAACTCAACTTCCTGCCTCCAGCTATGCCCCATCCTTTCCCCACTGCATCTCTGCTACTAAAAATCTTTTCTCTTTTTTTGCCAGAGAAACTTCACATGTGCCTTTCTGTATGCCACCTAGAAACTTCCTGGTTTCCTGCAGCTTTCCAGATTAAGTCTAGATATTTTTAGAAGTTGGCACAAAGAAGTCAGATCTTCAGCCATCTGTCTTCTGCTCTCTTCTTAGGTATTACCAGATCCGAATGACCTTGAAAGTGTCCTCCAGGATCCCACACAGAGTGAGTGCTTCCATCGTTGGGCAGACAGGTGAGTAGAAAAATGCAGTGGGCTCTTGTCTCAGCAGCGAACCTTTATTTGTTATTGTGTGCCAGGAAACAGCAGAATGCAAGGCACACAGAGGCCCTCAGCAAGTCTCTGTTGAAGGGCAGATGCATGACTTTTGGAAATACAGACCTGCTGTTGGAAGTGGCCTCATGTGATCATTGATGCAAGGGGCATGCAACTGAAGAAAAAGACACTGTCCCAGGAGTGATAGCACTTGGGGACAATCTGGCTGTAGGAAATCTAATCAGGGATGAGAGGAGTGGAAAATGGCATCCAACATGAAGGTATAGAGAAATGTGTCATTGAAGAACCCTAGGTAATCAGGTAGGGTCAGAAAATTCAGGAAGTGGGCATGTGTGGTGATGTCTTCCTTGCACAGTGGGGTTCCAAAAGATAAACACCCAGTGTGGGGAAAAGGGTGCTAAAGACAGCCCAAGCCCAACTAAAGGAGACTGGGTTATTTAGTGTCCAGGCCTCTGAGCAAGAACTCAACAAGACAGATGAGTCAGAAATATAGAACTTATTACAGAGGCTCTGAAGGCAGGCATCACACTGCCTCGTGGAAGTAAAGATGGTTACATTGGTAAGCTTGGAAGACCTGAATAGACTAGCATGTCTTACAAAGAATGGGAAAGGCTCAGGAGTGGTGAAAAGAAAGTAAGGCAAAAAAGGGCAAAGATGCACAAAATCTGCTACCCTTTAGAAGTAAAAGTGACCAAGAATACCACAGAAATCAAATTCTGGTCATAGCTATATTTCACAAACTTAGTTCAGAATTGAAAGAGATATTAAGGTGAAAGAGCCGGGCATGGTGGCGCACACCTGTAGTCCCAGCACTGGGGAGGCTGAGGCAGGAGGATTGCTGTGAGTTTGAGACCAGCCTGGGCTGCATAGTGAGTTCTGGGTCAGTCTAAATTGCATAGTGCGACTCTGTCTCAAAAAAGACAAAAAAACAAAACAAAACAAAAAGCTAAAAGAAATTAAGTGCAATTGGAAACCCACAAGTTAAGAGTATAAATGTGGTGGGCTGCTTGACTTCATGTTGTTAGGTGTGTATGTGTGTGGGGGGTCAGCTCCTTAAGGCAGAGCAGATCAACAGAAAAACCTCCGGAAAAGAATTAGTAGCCTAACTCGATTCATGACCAAGAAAGAGAAAGATGCTGGTGATTACCTACTTCCAGTTCTGAGTGGAGTGAAAGTTAAGTTATAATGAAGTCACCATATTTCCAAGATATTTCTCCTCCTTTATTCAACTTCTTTCTCTGGAAATAAGTAAAGCACCTTAAGAGAGACCAAGTGGCCACCCATTCTCTCATAGTACAGGTTTATAGTGACTCAAGGGCCCAGCACTTCCTTCCTTGGCTGGAGCTTTGAGTTACCTGCATTGAACCTCAGTGCCATCCCATCTTCCACCCAGAGGCCCATGCCATCCACAAGAGGAGGTGACTTGGTCCTCGGCTCTGCATGAACTAGCTGTGCAACCTCAAGTAGGTTATCAACACCTTGAGCTTTAGTTCCTTACCTGAAATATGAGGACAACTTCCATCATCTATAGGAGGAGATACATGAAAAGACATCTTCTTTTATAGAGATTATATAGTATATAGTATATAGATTATATAGAAATGTGAGTGTGACAAATGTAAAAGCAACAGAACTGGACCTGGCACCAAGTCTGACAGTCCTACTTATGAGTGGTTGTGGGATCAACATGTGGGGCTGGGTCAAGGCAGAAGCTCAGGGGAGAGACTTAACAATCAGATACAGCTGACCTAATAGTAGACATCTGCAGGCTTCTAACAAGGACTTCATGGACAGCATAAACTCAGCTTCTTCTGTATAAAATGGAGGTGGTATGTGGTCCTTGTCTTATAGATTATGGTATGGATCAAATGACTTATGCAAGTAAAACGATAACAACATTTTGGGGCACGTAGTTCAGAGTCACCCTTCCCAGCCTAAGCAGTGATATGATGCTCAGAGTAGCTGTTTATTTCATAGTACTCTTCCCAGTGCTGGCCCCTGGTCACAGGAGGCTGTTCTCCTGCCCTGGAGCGGTCACAGTCTTGGATGGAGACAAAAAAGTGTTCAGATGAGCAAAGAGAGGCAGTTTGTGATGCTGTCCAATGTGGCATTGTGTTCACCATGGATTGTCCCAGCTTGGAGCCGGGCAGCCAGGTGGAAGTAGGGGGTCCCAAAGGAGACGTGGAAGGAAGAGAAGTCAGCCCCACTAATAGGTAGTGAAGAAAGGTCCATATCACTAGAGGGTGTTTCTCGGATGAGGATCGGTCTGGCGGAGCTGTTGCTAAGAACAGGTGTCCTGAGAAAGAAAGCAGTGAGCAGTTGGGTTTAGAGCCACTTCCTGACACACTGAGATCAATTTGATATCAAAGGTATGGACAGGTGAAATCAAAGCACTCTGATGACCTGAACCAAACCCGGTACTGTTAAAATATTTTGTGTGTTCATAAATCTCCTAAACAAAGGGGTAGAATTCTGTTTTTGTTCTCTTTTCCATCATGTCAGCTCCTGAATAATTGCAGTATCAGGAAACACATTCCAGCTGCATAGATGAGCTGGATACAGATTCTTTACATAGGAAAAATTTATCATTGAATTTTACAAGTCACTTATAATTTGCTCCTGTGCATTGAGCACAATAACAGCTCTCTTATTCATGCTCTGCATATCCTTGCATCTTCTCTCAAAACAGTTTTTAAAGGTAATCCGTAAGAGTTCTCAGGAAACTTGATGACTTGTCTGAGTTAGCTGAGTATCACACTGGGTAGACTTGGACTGAATTGGGACTCTCAGTTAGGAATGATCCTCTGCCTGGCATTCTGAAAGACCTCAGCATTACAGGAAGTGTAGTAGTAGATGACAGCTGACAATGTCATGTGTGCCCTGGGACCTGAGTGCAGAGCGCAAAAGCAGCCCCTTCAGTGTGGGTCTGAGGACATGGAGGTCCCTGGTCCTAGTGTTCAGTGTGAATCTAAAGGCCATGGGGGTATGAAAGCTCAATTACAGGTGATTATCTAATGAGTCACTGAGCCCAGGACACCCCTCAGCTGTACTGAACATACAAGGAAAAAAAAACAAAACAGTCATTGCCATATATTCCTGCTGCTAGACTTTCAAGTAGAAAATTGTCAGATTAAGCACCCTGACTATTAAAAGAGCAGGTCGGACCTGCCCTCATCCATGTGAAAACCCCACTTCTTCACAGCAGGGCTTCATGTACCAAATCAACCCTTCAGCTGATGAGCCTTAAATTTCTACTTTGCATGCATACGCATGTGTGTATGAATGCGTGAGTGTGTGTATGGGCAATTGATTTCATGTGGTTTATCTTGCTCTTAAAATATATGCCAAACTTATACCTGTTAGTCAAGCATGGGACATTTTGATACAAATCAATATTTGAGTTCAACAAAGTTTTCTGATGCTGGTTTTAAGTGAGAAAATATACTATGCCCTGAATAATACAGAAATGGGTAATGATTCATTGAACAATCATAATTTTTCAACTTCAGGAAGAGAACCAGGCTGTAAGAAATTTTAAAATGGGATTAAGTTATTGTGAAGCCTTATTTTATCTTTTCTTCTGACTTCAGGGTTAAGAGTAATTGATTTGTCCATAACTGAGGATAAATGGGAAGTATACTTAACCTTGGCTGTTTTCCTCTACCAAAAAGTTTTATTCATTTTATAGCCTCTTCCTGTCTTGAGTTTTTGTGTTTTTTTTTTAATGTAAAAAGTCATTTCCCCTGGGGACTGGTCAATTAGCATGTGTAAGAGTAGTATATTGAGGCCATGACAAAATGGGTAGGCAAGAAATAGGCATCTGCTAGTTTTTGTTCATCAAAGCAAGAGAAAAGATAGTGCAGTGAATCGTGGAAATGTATAAAAATTGCCATGATTAGTTTTAGTAATGTTTTGAGAGGTAATTTCCATTTCCATTAAGTGGAAGCACTTAAGAGCTTTGCTGTGCAGAGGGCGGGGGAGAGACATTTATTCTCTAAATGAATCAATGTAATTTCTTTTCAGGGTCCATTAAAGTGCACCTAAATATCAAATATGCCTGTTTTCATGGAGACTGCTAAGCAGGTAAAACACTCCAGCTCACAGGTTTTGAGTTTTTGCCTGGTGCAGAGGGGCTGCCCCGTGTAAGCAGCATTTCATGGAGGATCTTTTACCTGTAGCACTTCTGAGAGGTCACGGAGGCAGTTCACACACAGTGGTGCTCAGTCTTCCTCACTGTGACTCCATGGGCACCCCAGTAGTCTGCTGTGCCAGCTGGCCAGGGACCTAGCTTTCTCTGGCTCAAGCCAGTTGGTCGTTCTTGGCTTTGCCCTCAAGACTTCATGTTACAGTTGCTTGACCTCTGGGCCCTCCTTCATGAAGCTTCCTTCTGTCTCCTGTACCCTCTTGATTTTCATCTCTGCCCCTGCTCATGCTGTTCTCCCACTTTGAATGCCTAGCCCTTTCTGTCTTCTCTCACACCCCCCAAAAAAGATTGGGCAGGCTGTTCAAGGACAATCTCCTGCTCCCCCAGAGCTAATCACTCCTCATCTGTGTGTCATTCATACAACTTGCACACATGCAGCTTGGAACCCTCCCTCTCATTTGGGGCCTCCCCTACCTTGCTGTAGGGCATCTTCAACCACCGAGAGCTGGGCTTTACTTTGCAGAACCATCCCAGGCTACAGGAAACACTTTGTCCAAGGTCTGAGCTTGCCCTGGGTTGGAGTCCCACCATCCACCTTCCTTCCCATAGCCCCTGCGGTGACACAGTGACTCCTAGCGCAGTCCTAGTGACTCCTTAGGACTGGCAATGTGGAATTCTGATGCATACCTCAGAGGATCCTGCAGGGTCAGGCTGCGCTGGCCTGCTTAGGGTTTCTGGGATGTGCCAGGCCTGTCTTCTCGTTCCCTGCCTTGGTTCCCCACTTTCCCTAGGGTCTCAGTGAGGACACACCCAC